ACCCCATGCCCAACCCTCCTCCTTTATCCGGGCTTGGGGCCGGCAGTAGCCCCCGGAGGGACTCCAGGCGGAGTTCTTCGTATATACTAATTTATAAATAATAATAGCCAATACTAAACCTTCTATGGGAGTGTATATCATTTCAAGTTATCGTTTCTTGCAACAATTCACTGAAAGTGAAGAATAAAATAAATAAATGAAAAGAATTATAATTCCAATTTGAAATAGAAGCTGAAACATCAGAAGATAAAATCCAAAAGATAATAGAAAATAAATACAAATAGATCATTATAATCCGATTCACATTAGATTTTATCAAGTAGAAACAAATACTCTACTCCTGTAGGTCAGTTATATTTTATAACATTTGCACTATACTTTCAGTTAAATGTGTATTATCTGATTATTTCCAAAAATGAAATATTAAAAAAAAAGTAAATTCGAATAGAGCAACATTATATTATGTCATTCATTAACTGAAATTTGATTATAACTATGGTTACGCACAGGATATAATCAATCTGCCAAAAAAAATTCACCGTCATTTTACTTACAGATATACACATAACGATGTGTTTGTTCTAGTCATTCTCAAATTTCATTCCATTCATAAATAATTTATTGTGTCATTTATATTAGTATTAAATGACTTGTTTAGTTTGTTTTGTTTTTGTTTCTAGAAATTCCAAATATTACGTAATTACACGTATAAATATTACTCCTTGTACTATTGACAATTAGTTCCCATACTTGTACATTGAGCTTCGGTGAAAAAAAAACACACAACATAATGTTCTAGTTTCCCATTCAGAATTCAACATTTGTATTCAATCTTTCATGTATTGCAACAGATGAATTATATCTCTTTTTTATAAATTTCAGCTTTATTTCCTATAAAATGCATAAAAACAATTGAAATTCAATAAGATTTAAGCAGCTGAATTAATTTCTTTATTTTTTAAAGTTAGATTTTCTTTCTCATATTGTAATGTTTAATTCTCCAGGCAAGATCTATCCACACTTCTAGACGATGATCTGGGGATGTAAGGACACATTCCATGAACTAATTTGAGAGGTCAGATCAATATCAGACTAATCCCCTGCTCTATCGAAACACGGATTATTACTTACGTTATAGTTTACATGAGTGTATAACATTAAAAATGGAGAGGACATTATCTCACCCTCCCGCTCAAAGAATCTATGACTAGGTGTGTACACCTGTATTTCAGGTGCGCATATAATGTACATTAGGTAATGTGCTATCACAAACAGCTATCACGCTCCCGTTAGTTGAGCCATGAGTAAATTCAGAAAAGTCAATCTTCTCATTTGTGTGTAGTTTGGAGAGGAGTGAGGTGTTTGATTTGAGAAAAATTTTGTAACATAGTACTCTTTCATACCGTTTCCTAAAATTCCAATCATATTACATTGATACTGTGTAATACTGATTTAGTAAATATTGAATATTCAAACTTTGAGCCAACTATATGCATATTCAAAACCTCAACCCTCCAAATATTTATTTCGATCCTACTAGTCTGATGACAACATAACGTAAACTTGTGTAGCTTAACACTAAATGTATATATTACCTACTTCTATTAATTCTCTGAGTTGGATGAATAACTATTTTGTTATGCTGACTTTTAGTCATTAAACTTCAAAGTCAATCAGATTGGAATATTTTATCTTTGTGTTCAGAATACGGTGAACATAGAGGATAGTTTTAATTACCTTCAAAAATACCGTTGAATAAGGTTGAGTTGTATACCTATGACTTTCTTACATAATTTTCTATAAGTTACTGAGAACAGAGAGAGGCAAATTTAAAGTCATCTTAGAATAACTACAAATAACAGTAATATGCATTAATCTTTCACGATACATTATCGAATATGTGCATGTTTTTGTCTCGCCGTTCTCTCACCAACCTACCTGAGATAATCGAATCAAAATGAATACATATTCTAGCAAATATATTTCAGTTAAGTCATCATGATACTCAAGCTGAACCACTACGTCACTGTAGTAGTTATAGTTGGAATAATATTTACAGTAGATTGATTACCCAATAGTGGCCAATGTCATGTATATCAGGTCATTCATAATACTAATTAAATCCTATTATAAATATATCTGAGTCCTATGAGAATTTAGTCACGATCTAAATAGCACAGTACTAACTTCGCTAATTGTGAAGCTGAATGATGTTGGATCGAATCTACCAAGAAAACTTCACCTCTCCTAAAATTATAGGTACACTTTCGTAATAAGTATTAAATAGCACGAGACCTAAATCCAGGGTTTCTTATTAATCACTTCTCAACCTCCACCTTTCAGTCCGGACAATATCTATTTAGTTAATTGAATTTATATTTAGTTAACTAGAATAACAAAAAGAAAAAAAGTTATTTAATCCATTATAATCGTTGCTTATATATTAAATATTTATCATGTGATTCATTCTTGAATTGATACCTGCTTCTTCATTCTCTTCATACGAAAGTAATAATAATAATAATGTATAATAAATATATATTTATATCTAAATATAATGTTTAATCCAGTCAAATCATGTGGCTGACAGATGGTGTACAACCCTTTTTTTCATTGTCCTTCTATATATTCTCTTATGAAGTCGACAAAAATACAATAAATGTATCAATTAAATGACGTAATATCCATGTATCTTATTTATTTATGTCTGTTCTTATGTTTATAATCTAAATTAAAATAATTCTAAGTATACATTACTGTCATTATATATATATATTACTTATCAATAGAGTGTTTTAATGAAGAGCTATTATATATAATATACTGCTGAATTAGATTAACATTATATGATTGATCTAGATAGTTGAGAAATTTTACTAAATAAACCGTAAACTACTTCAGTAGGTGTTTTGTTGTAGAACATGATAAATATACAGAAGATAGTTGAATGAAGAAGCTACACTGACGTTATTATGAATGTGATATTGATTTCTTTCTTAGTGTAATAATTAAATATTCAATTTACAGTTAATAAATAGTTAGCTCAACTCTCTTTTTGGTTCAGTGATATTAGACTATTTATTATTTGTATAAGGTTGTAGAGATTGTTGAGTTTTAATTGAGATCATGAAGCTATCAGTGTTAGACCATCATTGAAAACTTGAAAGCGCTGGATTACTTAAAGTTAGAAATCAACTCCGTATTCTAGGGGTTAAATGTTTGTGCGCCAGATCGAAGGTTCTGGAGTTCGAGTACCTCGTACGGGATCGTGGGTCAGCACTGCTGAGGAATCTCATACCAGAACGAAACGGCGGTCCAATGCTCCCAGGTTTTTACTGATGGTCTAATATTTATTATCTGTTTACACAGTATAATTTGTGGTATTATTATTTGGATGCATGTTAATAGATGCATTTTTTTGCTGTCAATAGATAAGTAAATTAAATGTCTAATCAGTTTAATTACTCTTTCGCCCTCACTCACTCTCCCTCTCGCTCGCTCTTAAACTGATTGTTTTCATTAAAGAAGGCTTTGGTTTGCAACTGATCTAATTATCATGTTTCTGTAGTATTATGCAATGAAAATATCATATATATATCTATAACCTAAACTTTTATTACTTACCTTCATACATTAGAATGTCAGCTCCAGAAATAATATGAATTTTAATGAATGTACTCATCTATACCATTATCCAATATCTTATGGAGAAAATAATTCTTATTTCTTACAGGTACAATTGATTTTTTGTACTTTTTCTTCCTCACAAACACATTAGACATTTTAGACACTGATTAGAAGAAGAAAATAAGACAATAATTTAGAATTATTATTTCTTTATAGTAATTCAGTTAATATTTAAAATAAGTCAAGTTAATAGTTGATACAAATAATAAACAGTTCAATCACCAAACATCTCCTTAATACAGGACATCAGGTAGATACCTTACAATCCTTTAGGTTGATTAGTAAGCAGCCAAACTCCAGTCTTCTGAAGTTTGCTGAAGCCATTGCCATCAGGCGTCAAAAACCTGACCTATGTATTCAAAAGGAGACGGTGGTTAATCTTTCCTTGCCCTGGTGACAAATATTCCGTCACTGCACCTTCAAAAAAAATTTTCGTTTGCATTTATTACATCACTGATTTTATTCAACTATCTTTCAAATTAATAATCTTTCAACTGAACTCTACTCACTATATTCCTATCAATGTTTAATCATTATGTAATCAATTGTTTCTAATCCACTTTTGAACTGATGTCACAATTAATGTTGTAGAATATTCTTTCACATTATGTACATATTTATAATATTCAGTAGGCAATTTAAACCCATTATGCAATTATGATTTTAAAATATCACAGGTTGTAAGCAGCTGATGAGAACCTACGAAATAAAATGAATTCATGCTATTCTGCTAGAATCTTTGTTCTTGCTCTTTTCAAAATAATCTACTGTTTCATTTAATAATTAGCTGATACTTTCAAATATGATCCAAATACAAATTCCTTCTTGATAGTTTATTGGCAGTGTACTCTTCATGAGTAATCCAGACTTTATTTATCTTTATATATCTTCTATGAAATAATCAATGAATATTGTATTGAATAGCTTTGAATGAACGTGAAATAATCGTTTAATAATCTTCAAGTCATGATGACAATGATAGTGATGACCATGATATCAGTTTATAGTTAGGACGTCATAGTTGAAAACAACTGAATCAAAAGCTGGAATACAGAAGTTTCCTAGTAGTAATAATATTAATAATAATAATAATAATCCGTTTACCATATTTAATATAGTATTTGGAAAATACAGTTACTTCATTATTTTTTCAGGGCTCTTTAGTAGTACCCATATGCAAATGTGTACACTATCAAAACTAGGACTTTTAGAATTCAATTTCAGTATTAATAAAACTAGATACGCTATAACTAGTAATAATAATATTAATACTAATGATTATAATTCTTTGTTTTACAATTTATTTATTTCAGGTGAACGTCCGTATATATGTCGGCATTGTGGTAAAGCTTTCTCACAAAATGGTACATTAAAACGACATTCACAAACATGTAAAGCTGCTTATAATAAAAACAACAGTAACACTAATACCAATAATAATAACAATAATAATGAGAATCGAGATGTTCATTTCAGTCAAAAATTCCCCACATCTACACCTACTACCCATCATCAATCATCATTCATTAAGAACATATCAAATAATATTACTGATCCAATTAATTTGAAACCATCAAATTTTTCAACATTATTATGTGATCCAATTGATGGATTATCAGATACTGAAGGTCAAATGAATTTATCACAATCTATAAATAATATTAATCATATAAAAACTACTTTACCTACTACTATGAATAATATAAATACTAATATGAATATCGTACAGAATAATAAAACGAATGTAAATAAACTATCGAATCGATATATTTATCCTGAACCAACTGAAAAACAATTACATGTAAGTTATCCTAATGATGATGGTTGTTTGATTTTGAACAAAAATGGTTATTCTGAAAAAGAATGATTAATTTTATCAAATAAATGGATGAAATGTATAGAGATAAGCAAGAGTAACGTTTTGGTTGAAAATCAAAATAAGAATAATAAGAATAGTTTGTATGGATTTTCTTTATTAAGAAAATTCTATTTGTCCTAAAAATGGATGTTTTTCTTTGATTTGAGTTAATCAGTAATATTTTTTTTTGGTGATGGGTTACTTATTTATCATTGTTACTTCTCGTAGAGCATAGACCATCGACCACGATCATTCAACCAACTTTGTCCTAGGCAATCCTTCCCAGTTGTTTTCATGTGTTATTGATTATTTTGATGTTTGCCTCCACTTCCCAGTGCAATGTGTTTTTTGTTCTGTTTCTTTCCATGTTAGGGGTTGTTTTGTGATACAGTTTAATAATTTTTCTTAATGTGTGTTGTGTCCTACCTACTTCCAGGGTCATTTCCTAATTTCCTTATCAGTTGAAAGTTGGTTTGTTGCTGATGGTGCACGGCGAACGAATCTAGATTATCTTGTATTGACAACTGTTTGTGAACAGTCATAACTTTTTGATGATGGTTGTAGTAGTTCTCTAATTTTCATCTGTGTACTATAGAACTGTCTTGACGTGTGTATTGAGAATTCCGACTTTGATGTTGGCTGACAGTTGTTTCGAGTTGCGGGTGCTCTTCACTTGTAGGAATGTTTGGTTATAGGTGTATCACAATAACCAAATATTACAAGTGGACGAAGTTTAATACATTCTTAGACGGATGGATTTAAATTTGTACTCATAATTAAACTTGAATACCTCCGTCTAAGAAGGTATTAAAATTGGACCAATTGCAACCAAATTCTTTTCACCATAATTACAACATAAATTTCATGAACTGAGTTTCATGATCATCTTTAATTTCGATTCTACAACGAACATTGTTCAATTTAAGGAATCATTATTTTGCAATGAAAATGCCCTAACTTTTATTTTTAACTGACATTAGTAATAGTTTTCAGTTTTTATATTTTACTGGTTTCTTGGTTGATGTCAATTTTTGACGTAAAATGTCAGTATAAATGAAATCCAATTAAATAATAATTATGTAACTTCTAGATGAAACTCGAACGTTATAGTGAACTGTTGTGGTTGTGTCGCTTTAATCATCAAAAAAAATTGAGGTCACTAAATCCTAACTTGGTAGACTAAAAAATTATAAAACTTTCATAAGTACAGTATATTATGTATAATGTTCTTTTTGATGTAGAAATAAGCATCTGCTCACTAGTGACTGAATTCAAGAGATACTCCTGGAGTTCTAGTGAGAAGCCGTTACCAGTGGAGTTCAACCAGGTCTGTTGTGAGATATCAACTCACTGAAGACAATGGTGTACCGTGGCGCTATTTCGTGGATTGGTTGAAGTTAGACATTAACACCGTTGGATGCCGGCCGGCTCAATGGTCTAGTTGGTTAAACGTCTGGCGAGGGACTGATAGACCCTTGGTTGGAATCCCGCGGGGGGTGGCGGGATCGTGGATGCGTACTGCTGAGGAGTCCCATATTAGGACGAAACGGCCGTTCAGTGCTTCCAGGTTTTCCATGGTGGTCTAGCTTCAATTGTCTCGTGATTTCAATCAGTGAAATAAACAACTATTAGTTTCTATTCATATATGTAAATAAATGGAATAATATTTCATAATAACATAAGACTGAATAAACTTAATGAAAGGCATTGAAACAATATATATGATCGTATAAAAATTGTGACTATATCAGTAATTTTATTCTTATCTTAAAATATTGTCTTCTTTTCTAAACTAAATAACTGAATATCTAACTAGATCATATGTCGACTGATTCATTCAAGGTCAAGATCAAGGACAATGAATTGTTATCATAATGTGAATATAAGTGTATGTTCATGTAACCTTGTACAGCGATTTCAATGAGAAAAGAAAAGAAAAGTGGTTTTCTTCATATATATATATATATATATATATATAAAGAATCCAGCATAGTGAACATTTAATTCACAATAACTGATTCATACATAGGATTTTATTTGATGTTTGTGTAATCTTTTGGTGTTAATCAAATTTTACTGATCGTTTTACAAGTTAATCACTAGTCTAATTGACTCTAGATTGAATGTACTTTGTTAAAATGTTAAGTAATTAGAAATAATCGGTTGGAAACTTTCTTTAAATTAAGTTTCATGCCTGTTAACACTTGTCATCAAGATGGGATTACTATCATGAAGGGGTTTCGTGTAAACTGTTGTGATGTTCTAATAACTTAAAACACTGAAGTATTTCGTAGATGATTTAATTCAAATTCCTTCTAGTCAACTGTGTACTATCAATAGTATTACGTACAATATGTATCAAATATTTGATCGTTGGACTGTATTAAATTAAAACTTACTTAGGCTTGTGTTGAATCACTAACTAGACAAACAAAATTAGAAAATAATTATATTTAATAGTAGAAAATACATAAATAAATAGATGTCCAATAGTATTTTTTTATATCTAAATTATTCAATTACACAATTAAAGTTAATTGTCAACAGTGTCAACATAACGACAGTAATTTTGATGTAGACACTTACGTTCAAAAAATGTATGTGAAATGATGTTTACTTTTCTGCAAAATGATTTTTATCGAATTATGAACCTACTTTCATTTATAAATATATTAGTTGCTGCACAAGCTAGTAGCTATTTGGACTCTGTAGCTAAGTGGATAACTCATTGACGTTTGAAGCCAAAAGTGTTGGGTTCGAGTCCTGGAGTGTGCATTAACTGTGGGATACAGGTATATAAGGTTGACTCCTACTGCTAACCGCCATCTATCTCCGCATAAACCTACCTCATATGATAAAATGCGTTGGAACTAAAGAATCACTGAGTGATTGTTATGTCCTACCTCAATATACCTTAGTAATTAATGCATACACATGGTATCATATAAGATGGAAATGAAGATCTTCAGTTCTCACCTTTCAAATACAATATAATTGTATTATTAAGTCATATATGTTATCTAAATGGTAGGATAGATGAATGTTGTATACATATCAATGATTCGTATATACATGAGTTAACTGATACAAAAAAGTACATTGACTAAATTTAGATCATATGTTGACTGATTCATTCAAGGTTAAGATCAAGGATAATAAATTGTTATCTTAATGTGAATATAAGTGTATGTTCATGTAACCTTTTACAGCAATTTCAGTGAAAAGAAAAGAAAAGTGTTTTCCTTTAGAATAGATATCAGTTTAACCATGTTATTTGTATAAATATTAACACTACGATTGACACGGATAAATTGATTCAGTCGACATAGTCAAATTAACTGATTAACCAATAACACATTCAGTGTACATCATACGTAGAATTATACTTGCTTGTGAAATGCTGATCAACAGGAAACCTTAAACCTAAGTTTTCTTCTGTTCACCACTAGTCAGTAAGGTATACCTGTAATCTCCAAGGCATTTATTATTATTTAAAAGTCAGAAATACTATCCTCATCCAAACAGAACAATATACAGATTTACTAATCGATATCATAAAAAGATTAGTTAAATCATTTAGTCATGGATAAAGATATTCGGTCCGTTGATAATTCTTTTTTTATAGGTTTCATTCTAGTTCAATACCATGATGTCATCAATTAATTTCCAGTTTCGTCTTTTTCTTCTTTTTAACAAATTATTATCTATATCTTTGTATACAGAATATTACGATTTTTTTCTCAAAATTATTTCTTCATTTGATTCGTGCTTATTCTAAAGAGCAGAGAGTCTCCAGGTCACCTTATTACAATGTGGTAATAAAGCTTTGTTGTGTACAAAATAAAATCTTTGTATTTCTCTATGTGTGTATCTACATTTATGTGTACGCATGTTTTGACAAAAAAGATGTACGTATAAGTCATTGTAATCGCTCACCCATACCATACATATGTTAAGTAACTAACAGATCGATTAGATAACGTCATACCACCATACATTGTTTGGGTTACATAGGATTTGTTGTCTGAATTACGTACTATCTAACACACATATAGATATATATACAGAACTGCACACATATATGCATGCGTTTTCACGTCTCTAGCTTAATTCAGCTTTAATTCTGTTATTACTGATTACTACTGGGTTTTTGGTCTGTCCATCTGCTCAAACACTGCTCTAAAATATAAATATATATTTACGAATTTCCTATTCATTTTCATTCCCTACATTTGACCGACACATTGCCACCCCCACCCCCATCAATGCTTTAGTCATTTTTATCCATGTGAAAATTTCGCTTTGTTCGTGTGACAGCCCCATGAGGCATGAATAACATACTGTAGTATCTAACATAAAAGTTCCGTGTACAACTCTTGCAAGCCATGTTTTCAAAATCGAACTCACGTAATAACATACACCCTCTTTGTTATAATGACAGCCGCTAAGCTTATTATTAATAAGAAAAAAAATTGTCTGACTCATATATATTTACCATATTACTTATTTACTAGCTAATGTACATCGTATGACCTCAAGGGAGAAAATGGTAATCTAGTTCATGGGATTTGTACGTGTGTATTGAGAAGAGAAATATGAGATATAAAGACAGTCAGTGTACAGTCAAGCGCAAAAATAAATAATACATTATCAAAAAAATAAATTCGGTCACTCTTTTATACATCTATTACATTTTATGTATGCGTAAATACGAAACTATTATCAATGTATACACTACTTTTCTCTTTTTAATTTATATATTGTGTATGTATATATATGTGTTCATGTACACGCCTGAATGAATCTAGCTATACATGTTTGTTGATGGCGTATGCATGCAAAGATTTTCTTTACTACTTAAAATTCGGTGTTTATATTTTTTCATCTCTCTATCTCTCCTTCCTTCTTTCTTGCTTTCCTTGTAATTTTCATTGTATATCATG